CACACTGCTCTGATTGGGTGGGATCTGGGGACAAATAGCGCAGTGATCTTACTGTGTGAGATTAGAGTATTTGAGTAGCAGAATAATTCTATTCAGCTGTGTTCCCACTCTATCTGGGGTAAAGAGCAGAACTAAACCACTGATTTGTAAGGGAAAATGAATAGCTGTTCGGGGACTTTCTGCCCATTCTGGGGGTCCCCGACAGCTACTCAGTCTTGCCCGGTTCCTAACCTGGCTTGGAGTTAGAACCTTCAACATCTCTCCCTCAATCCCTCTCTTTCACCCTCCTCCCCTCACACCAGCACTCTGAGAAAGTGGGGGCTGAGTCTGCAGTGGCTGTGGTATTGCTAGCTTCTGGAAAGTCCCCATCCTACTCCCTGCGGTTTGCTTGGAGGGCATGGAAGGGGGTTAGGAAGAGAGGGGGTTCCCAGTGTGGCTTGCTAACTCCCACCGTCTCTTTTCTCGCTTCCTGATCAATAAATGCCATTCTTTCTTCATGTACCTCCCCCACATTTGTATTCTTGACAGGAAGATGAAGCAGCTTTCTATCCCCACACAATGTTGGGGACATTTGGTATTATATATTATGAAAATCAGATTTACCAGATTTTAGAGACAGAAGACAACTTGAAGATGATCTTGTTCCATTCTCTTGTAAGAATACATTTGAGGGGCGCCTGGGCGGCTCAGTCGGTTAAGCGTCCGACTTCCACTCAGGTCATGATCTCCTGGTTCATGGATTCCAGCCCTGCATCAGGTTCTGTGCTGGCAGCTCAGAGCCTGGAGCCTGTTTAGATTCTGTGTCTCCTTCTCGCTCTCTGCCCCTTCCCCGCTCATACTCTGTCTCTCTGTCTCCAAAATAAATAAACTATTAAAAATATTAAAAAAAGAATACATTTGAGACTTGGAGGTTAAGTGACTTGCTTTCTCAACCTCATACTTGAAAGTGTTTTCATGAGGAAACTGAGGTTCTTTGCCGTATTTGGATGGCAGTTGGGGACCATATTGTCCTAATTCTGTCGCCCAACTTGGATGAACCACTTAGCTTCTCCAGAACCAAGTTTCCTCATGTCAAATATAAGAGCTTAAAAGAGCTCAAAAGGACATCTCTAGCTTTCAGATTTTATAAGCTTATCTGCATGCCTTCAGCGATATTTGATATAGAAGGACTCACTAAGAAGATTATTGTACCTGTTCTCATAAAAGAGTATCTTTGTGTTTGGGTTGCCCGCCATGTTTATGGACTGTAGAGGTAGACGGTGTAGAATACAGATGGTCTCTGTAAGGGATAGAGCTTATACATACGAATCTACCAACAAGAACATACCTAGAAGTTTTCTGGAATAACACATCATAGTCTTTCTTTCTGAGGGTATGAGGCACAATGAGGCACAAGAGAGCCCTCTTAGAATAGAAGGTTCCACCTGGGAATGACGGTGAGAGTTCGTATGCAAATGATGGGAACTGATATGGTTAAAAACATAAGCTAATGGCATACTAGTATTATTTGAATAGTTCATCTGTTTCATGGAACTTTTTATTAAAAAGAAGTGCAGTTACTCACCTAGTCTAAGTTATCATGAATCTTATGTCAGCAGAAGTTGAATTGCTTATAAATAATTATCACTATCTCTGGGGTAGAACTTATTTTTTTTAAGTTTTATTTATTTAAGTCATCTCTACACCCAATGTGGGGGTCGAACTCATGAGCCTGAGATCAAGAGTCCCATGCTCTTCCAACTGAGCCAGCCAGACGCCTCTGGGGTAGAACTTATTATGAGTTTACAGTGGCAAGGACCAGTCTATGTTTTACTGAGAAACTAAGAATGTGCTGTAGCTGGTTCAAAAATGCAGACTTCAAGCATTCAAATGGTTTTGTCAATGACTTGGCAGAACTAATGCAATGACTGATTATTTACTAAATGTTTGGAATGACTGCATTGTGTACATTTTTTGCACTATGTATATATTGCCTTACAAGAAAACTAAAAATAATTCTGTATATTGTTGCCACCATATTAACAATTGCCTCATCTATGCTAATTGGTAGATCTCAGGTCTCCCCTTTGTAATAATTCTAGTACTTCTCTAAACATTTCTTGGGATTAGCGGCTGTCAACGGTTAGAACTTGAACCAGATTCAGTTACAGGAGTGGAAGTTGAGCCAGACATTTAATCTCTCACCAGGTGAGAGGGAGAAAGAAGAGAGAGAGAGAGAGAGAGAGAGAGACCATTATTTATGGGGTTATATCAAGTCTGTTTTTGTCAACAGAAGTTTTGCTTTAAAGGAGAAGAGACAATGGAATACATTTCCATGAACTATGTTAGAGCTCTAAACTATGAGTTTATTTCTGAACTTTTGAACATTTAAAATAAAAAGGCAGCTCCGAACTGTGTTCAAATCCTATTATAAAAATGCAGTCATCACATATGCATATATATCACCTAGAAGTAGATAGAGCTAAAAGAATAGACTTTAGTTCTATTTCAGAAAAGGTTTAGAATTTGAATATTGACTATATTCCCAACTCATACACAGCTGTCTTTTCACTTATTTCCTCACATGGTGGAAAAGGGCAGGGGAGCACTTTGAGTCTCTTTATGACGGCACCAATCCCATATATGAGGGCTTCAGCCTCATGACCAAATCACCTCCCAAAGGCCCAACTTCCAAATACTATCACATTGAGGGTTACAATTTCAATATGCTGTCTGTAGCAGTGACTCCTTGGCCTTTGTCTTAGCCAATGAAATAGCGATGCTGTTTACAGAGACAGAGTTTATGGGATGGAAGAGAAGTTCTGGGAAGGGGGGAGGTGAGACTGAGTTAGTTTAAAAATAACTAAGTTGAGGCTGAGGTGCCTCTAAGCTATTCAGATAGGATTGTTGACTGACCTGCCCTCATCCGGATCTCAGGAAGGAGGTTCAATGGGAGACAAACACATGGGACTCATGAGGGCATATATGGTAGGTGATATTCTTGTGTAACACTCGGGGATGGGTTGAGAATCAGGAGCAAACTCTCCCATGCCCACCTGTGACAAGCAGCTCCAGGTCTCAGTGACCCAGGTCATAACGCTGGCAATACTAGTAATCTGTAACTGAGGCTAAGGTTGGAGATGAAGTTTGTTGTGAGGATGGAATGAGATCATCCCTGCAATGTGCCTGGATCACAAAGAAAGCTGTTAGCAGCAGCAGCAGCAGCAGCAGCAGCAGGAATATTAGAATGTGGTTGTGGACACCAAGCCATTAGGGAAGACTGTCCAAAGAAAGCAAGTGGAATGAGGAGAGGGGCTGGAGTCAAACAGTGGGAAAAAAGCCACCAAAGAATCCAAAAAGAAGCAACCAGAGATGCAAAATGAGAAACAGAAGGGTTTCAAGCAGGAAAGAGTGGTCACCATTGAGAAATTTATCAGAAAGGACAAGACACTTTAAGGAATAAAAAGCCCCCTTTGGATTTCACAGCCAGAAGATGTGGGTGACCTTAATGGGCACAATTTCAATGCATAGGCAGTACATCTGGTCAAAATCCAGATTGTAGATGGGCAGTAGGAAGTGGAGACACTACGTGTAGACTTGACGATGAAGAAAATTGTGTAGGGAAGGAGGAGCTGGGACTGGAGTATTGAGGTCAAGAGCAAATGTCTTTTTTGTTTGTTTGTTTTAGATGGAAGAGACTTCATTCGCTTGTTTATAATGTTATTGCTCCTCTATTTTAGGTCAGACATTGCCAGGCACTGGGAAAAACAGTGGTGAATCAGATAGATGCAGTGGATAGGTGCTCAGGGAGCACATGGGAGAAGGAAGATCTGGCAAGCAGATGAGAAAGGATGAGAATTGAGATCCTGTAGACAAGTCAACTCTATACGGAAGGATTTTGTTACCAGTGGAACAGGATGGGGCTAGGATACATCCAATGGGGTTCTTGAAAATCACCTGTCGAGGGGGGAAGGCAGATGAGAGACTTTGGGTCTACTGGAAACAGCATCTTCTGTTGATGAGGACAGGCAAAGTGTGAGCATGACACCTTATAATACACAAATTAGATGAAACAATATTTATGGCGATATTTGGAGCATAACCGGCACCAATTACATGTTAATGGAATTTGAATTCATGTTCAGAACCTCTGGACTATGTCAGGGAGAGCCTTTTAAAACTTAAGTGGTATCATAATTGAAAAGGTCAGTTGTTGAAAACTGGTCTGGTTCAGTAGACTATGATAATGGTCAGCTGATATTTTTTCTCTCAAGATTACTTTTTTGGGGGGTAGAATCACCACTACTGAATTTGGTTATCTTTAAAAAAAATTCCTTTTAGAGACACCTGGCTGGCTCAGTGCATAGAGCATGTGACTCTTGATTTCGGGGACTTGAGTTTAAGCCCCACATTGGGCATAGAGATTACTTTAAAAAATTCCTTGAAAGGGGCGCCTGGGTGGCTTAGTCGGTTAAGCGTCCGACTTTCGCTTAGGTCATGATCTCGCGGTTCGTGGGTTCAAGCCCCGCGTCGGGCTCTGTGCTGACTGCCAGCTCAGAGTCTGGAGCCTATTTCAGAGTCTGTATCTCCCTCTCTCTCTTTCCCTCCCCTGCTCACGCTGTCTCTCTCTCTCTCCTAGAAATAAATAAAACATTAAAAAAAATTCCCTGAAATATATGTTGATAGAACAGGGTTTAAACGTATCTGGGCAGGACTATATTGTTTTCGGTCCTGCTTGTTTTTGCTGGCTCTAAGAAACCTGCGTTTAACAGGAGTTTCCTGGTGGGATCTTTATAATCGGTAGTGAGTGTGGCAGTTATGGCCTTCTCAGATTTTATATGAAGCCCAATTTCAGGGAGCCTCTTTCTAGGCAAAGCAGCTTGTTCGAGCTAATATCCATTTCTTCCTGTGCTTGGGTTTCGGGCTTTTAAGCTCTTCTGAAATAATAAATCTCTGAAAGTAGCTATTGCTGTGATTTCATTAAATTCTAATGCCTCTGTTTTTCTCCCCCAGGATTCTGCCTCAGAAGCACATAAAGTAGATTGCTCGTTCTAAAATAGAAAACAGCGGCAACGTTTTGCTGAGTTTCCAGACCTTTCCCAAAATGGAACCAATAACATTCACGGCGAGGAGACATCCATTTCCTAACGAGGCCTCGGTGGACTTTGGCCTGCAGCTGGTGGGCTCCTTGCCCGTGCACACTCTCACCACCATGCCGATGCTGCCTTGGGTCGTGGCTGAGGTGCGAAGGCTCAGCGGGCAGTCCTCCAAAAAGGAGCCTGGAACCCAGCAGGTCCGGCTTTACGTTTCACCCTCCGGATTGAGATGCGAACCCGAGCCGGGCAGAAGTCAACAGTGGGATCCACTGATCTGTTCCACTGTCTTCCAGTGTAAGCCCCAGCACGTTCACAAACTGATCCACAACAGCCATGATCCAAGTTACTTTGCTTGTCTGATTAAGGACAGTGCAGGCAGCCAGCAGAGTATCTGCTACGTGTTCAAAGCCGACGATCAAACAAAAGTAAGTGGACGTGGGGATGAAAACGATTAAGGGGTCGCTGGATGGGTTTTCATCGTTGGGGGTCAGGGCACTTACTTTACGTAGACCTGGATGAAGAAGATAATGCGGTGGTTATACATAGATTATTTCACTGGGTTTTTGGTTTATGGGGATAGTTTCTTTACGGTTTTAAACAACATTTGATAACATATATTAGGAATTATAAATTTATGAGTCCAAAAATTCAGCGGAGAACTCGGTCTCAACTTATAAATAAGAGCTGAAATGTTAGGATTCAGATCATTAAGCGTATGTGTTCTAAAGCAGTGCTTCTCAAACAGAAACATGCACATGAATCACCTGGGATCTTGTTAAACCACAAAGTTAGGTCCTGGAGGCCTGGGATGGACCCTAAGACTGCATTTCTAACAAGCTGCCAGGCGATGCTGCTGCTGCTGCTGCTTTGCAGACTGCAGTTTGAATAGTGAATTCTAGATCAGTGAGTTCCATGTCATTGACCTTGTTAATAAAAATATATTTATTTAGAAGCTGTAGGGGCAGCTGAGTAACTCAGTTGGTTAGGCGTCCGACTCTTGATTTTGGTTCAGGTCATGATCCCATGGTTCATGAGTTTGAGCGCTGCGTCAGGCTCCACGCTGATAGCACAGAGCCTACTTAGGACTCTCTCTCTCCCCCTTTCTCTGCCTCTCTCCCCTCGCTGCCCCCCCTCACATGCTCACACACACATACACTCTCTCACTCTCCTCTTTCAGAAACAAACACACAAAAAACTTAAAAAAAAAAAAAAGAAGCTGTGTAAGAATATATCAGTCAATTTATCAAGGTATCACATTCACTTAGGCAAAGACCGTTGAGAAGAATAGTGGATAAAATTCCAAGTTTTGCTACTTTCAGGTTTTGTGTGGGTGTTTACCAACTTTATGGCAACTGATCAACTGGTTATTGTTATATCTCACGATGTGGCTGAGAAAAATATCCTCTGAGAAATGGTAAAAATATCGTCAGGTCTGTAACTTTCCCGTGTGTTGGTGCTTGTGCTGTCGTTGCCGTGTCTTGCGGTCCTGTGCAGGACTCATTTACAGTCACTTGTCCATTTCACGGGGGTCAGTTTGGATAAGATTGAAATTATAATCTCTATCACCGCTTTCTCATTTGGGCCCAGTTGAACTGCACTTGGGTACAGCCTACGACAGCAAACAGGCGAGGGCCCCACTGCTGACTAACCCCGTGAGCTGGGGAATGTCCGTGGAATGCCTTGAGTCCCTGTCCCGTCCCGTCCCTGTTCCGTGTGGCTGTCTGCCAGGCACACTGAGTGAGGAGGCCGGTGTCAATCATGTGCTAAATGTCAGGAAATAGAAATAGAAATGCTAATGTTTTTCTCCCTGCACCCTACTGGGTTTTGTTGTGTCTTGTTTTGTTTTGTGTGTGGTGTTGGGGTTGTTTTTTGGTTTCGGGGGTTTTTTTGCACATTCTCCAGACTGCAGGAACTTCCTTTGGAAATTAGTGTTCTTGGTGACTAAGTAGATTTGTAGAGACTCACTTTTGTTTGTTCGCACCTTGTTTCTTTTACTCATTCATTCAGTGAGTGCTGCTCCAGGGACCATGTGAGAGCACATTAGTACAATTTGGAAGGAAGGCAGAAGGAGTGATCAGCAAATACCACGTGCCCCATGAGCGGTGACATGATGGGTGACAGAATGGAACCTAATACTGGCATGTAATGAAGGTTTTTGTCAATAAAGTCTAATCTGCAGCTTAAGTCTACTATTTTGCCCACAGAATTGGATATCTCCTTCTTAATAAATCATTTGATGTTATTGTCCATGCATTTCAAGTAGCCAGGACAACACCCCAGTACAGAGGCTCGAAGGGGACCAAATTCCAGTCCCATCTGCCACTGTAAACTGGGTGGCCTCAGGCAACACCAAACCTGTTTTCTCATCTGTACAATGGGGATAGTTATCGTGTCTATCTCACAGAGTTGCTGGGGGAACCAAATGAGCTAGAAGACAACCTGAGCACTTACAGCTATAAAAAATTTTCACTGAGAAAGGTTTTACCGAAAGCAGATTATATGCTAATTTCACTTCGAGTCTTAGGTAATGGGAAAAAGATGAGTGTCTTCAGTTCCCAAGATCCTGGTCATCCTTGAGCAACATTTTTATAAACTAGATACTTTACAAAAGGCATAAATAAACTTAATGGTTCCTATTATTTGGGCAAACTCCAGAATGTAAATTGAAGGACTGAACAGCCTGTACCCCAGGCCAGTTCTGTATAAGGACTGAATTTCCTTGGGGAGAGTTTTCACATGGAAGAGTTGTTCAGCCTTTCACACTTTTGACTCTTTCCCCAAATTTTTTACAGCCATCTGAGAACAGGCTCCTGGCCAGTCATCCAGATACCTGACGGAAAAAAAGAGATTTAGAACTAAATTCCGTAATCGGAGCTTCCAGTCTTGCTGAAAAGAGACAACTGGCCTGACTCTGTGTTCTGAAAAGCCATGGTAGAAATATGAATTCGTTCTTGAGTTATTTTTGGCTTGCATTACCATTTTTCCAAACACAGATTGCCAGCATTCAGAGTAGCACACTGCCGTCACCCTGCTCCTTCCTGAAAGGATAATCTGCACCAGAGGTGCCTCCATCAGTGACCCGCTTTTGTGGGAAGTTGAAGGGCAAGCCGAATTAGCCCCGATTCTCGATCTGGCGTGATGGCTTTTATGTTCTTGGGACACCTCTGGCACTGCGTCTCGTACGAGAGGATCATCTGCTGTAGGATCACGTTAACCTGTGTCATCGTTTCTCGTGATTTTTTTGGTAACATTTGCTGCATGAAATAATTCTCAAGATTAAGGCCTCTCCTAAACAGATGAGGTCACTCTGAGTTGTGCTTGCCAGAGGAGATATGTGCGGTTACCGCCAGGGCCACAGCACAAAACTACTTACTACTTGAGACGAAGCCCTTTGAAAGCATATAAATCAGCTTGCGGAAGCGTGTCTAGGGACATATAAAGGGAAACATTTTAGAACACAGATGAATAGATATGAATATATATTAGAATGAATATATCTTAGAATATATTCCATGTGTTCCGCAGAGAAATGCTTCTGCAGTATGCATGAGGGCAGCATGTCCAACTTTTCCACATGAGGACCGCTTTTCAGTCTTAAAAAAATTATTGAGGATCCCAAAGAGTATTAATGTGGTTTCTATCTATTAATAATTACTGTGTGAGAAATTAAAACTGAGACATTATAAAGATACTAATTTCTTAATTTGTTAAAAAACAAAAGTAATAAGCCCCTTATGTGTTAGCGTAAGTAATAATTTTGTTGGGGACGCCTGGGAGGCTCAATCGGTTAAGCGTCCAGCTCTTGGTTTTGGTTTAGGTCATGATCCCATGGCTTTGTGGGTTCAGGCTCCTCATCGAGCTTAGTGCTGACGGTACAGAGCCTGCTTGGGATTCTCCCTCCCTCTCTCTCTTTCCCTCTCTCTCTCTCTGCCCATCCTCTGCTCTGTCTATCCCTCTGTCTCTCAAAATAAATCAACTTAAAAAAATAACTTTGTGAAAAATAACGATATATTTTCCAAAAATATTTAAAGATAAGAGAAACATAGTTTTACTTCTTTGTTTTCTTTCTCAAGTCTTTTTTGTGTGAATTAATAGACAAACTACTGGATTCTCAGCTGCTTCTCCATTCATTCGGTCGATATGTTGTTTTGGTTGAGTTTATAAAGAAAATTTGTTCTCACATAGATATGTAGTAGGAAAATGGAAAAACATTTTATAGCCTTCTTAGAAAATTGTGGATATATATATATATTTTTAGTGTTTTATTTTTTTTGAAAGAGAGAGAGAGAAAGAGAGAGAGAGGCAGAGCATGAGCAGGAGAGGGACAAAGAGAGAGGAAGACAATCTGAAAAGGGCTTCAGGCTCTGAGCTGTCAGCACAGAGCCCGATGTGGGGCTCAAACCCATGAACCATGAGATCATGACCTGAGCTGAAGTTGGACGCTTAACTGACTGAGACACCCAGGCACCCCTATATTTTTTAATACTATACCAAAACTTGGCAAGTGGTAGTTTCTTTAAGGTTTGTTGCAGTATGATTCCTGAAACTGTATCAGAGCACTTTTGTACTTTGTTATTTTAAAATCCATTGGTCTGTCCCGCACTTTAATGAACTTTTAAGTGTGTGTGATTGTGTAACATCACACATTGATTATTTGGAAGACATTGGTTCACTGGGTTATACAAACAACACTCTGAGAACCGCGATTTTGGGAAAGCTGTCTTTTCTATTTCACTCTCGAGTTGTACATGAGTCCACTAAATCACCAAATTTCTTGGATCATAGATTTCTTTTATTTTTTTTTTCATGCCATCCCTCAGAACACATGTGAACACCATGGCATAGGTTCTGGGCTGAATTGTAGTTTGCAATTGGTTCCATGGTGGGAAAGGAACAGACAGTTACCTGGATGACCCTGATGAGGTCTTCCCCCATCTAAATCACAAAGAAATCGTGAGTTCTGCCCAGACTCAGCCCTTGAAAAAAACATAGTCTGGGAAAATCACCTCGAGAGTCTTTCCTCCTCCATTTCTTCAGCTTTTTCTCTTCTGTGAAAATCTGTACTCAGGACATCAGATTCACCACTCGCTTGAATTTTGCCTCAGGTCATTCATCAGAATATTTTTATTTCTGTCCTTTTCATTATTTATGAGGTGAAAAACTCTGCTTCCTTGAAAGAGACTTTCCGTCACAACTTTTGAGTTACAGGTAGTGTAAGTACTGGGGCTTCTGACGTGGTCTGTTGCCATTTTATGTCAATAGGAAGAAAGAGTGGATTTTGAAAGGGGACTGGTGGGCATCATTGAGATGGTAATAAATGGAGAAGTGTAGCTTGGTGTGTAGGTGAAGGGACAGGACAGCTGGGGTGGGACCCACACTAAGTTAGTGACTGAGTACGTGAGAGCGGTTTTGGCAAGTGCCCACT